AGGGCCATGTTAAACTCACCCTGATGTGGGAAAGGCACAGAATGGTTGGGACAAAGAAAACATGAAGCAAACTCTGAAAACCTGGGCTCATCACTCTGGACACCCTTAAGTGTAGCAATAGTGACTTTTGGGGAAAAAAAATTATCCCCCCACAGCAGCAGTCAAAGCAGGCAGTACTTGTGGCATTCTGGCCTCTAGCACAGGCAAAATAAGCAGGAAGGCTATTGCAGGTTTATTACATCTGACACACCGCTTCCACAGGCAAAGCGTACTTTGTCCATACCTGGTATCAGCTCTGCTTGTGCTAAAAGTCAGCACCTCAACAACAAAGGGTGCAAGGGCATTTTAAAGAAGCCCTCTGCTAAATTTCTCTTCACCATGCAAGACTGAAGATGAAGGAGCTTGAGTTTCAGCACAGGCTATAGTCTGATTACATACTCAGGGTAGTGTGTATTCTGGTTAATAGTCTGCACTCAAGATCATTTTAGGGCACCTTCAGCTCTGCTGTACTAGCCTGGTTACGGCATCCCCATTTTGCTGTGTCCACATACAATTGTTAACAAGAAGGAAGAACAGCACTGCTGCCACTGTAATCAACCCAGACACAACATCAGATTTCTGAATGATGTTACCTTTTACACCACAATAATCCTGGCAAATCCATGCACAGCATAAGGATTTTAGCTCTGGGTGCATTTTATAGTAAATACTGAAGCAGGTTTCAGGGAAAACACATTTTTTCTCCTTATATGGGCTAGCTGTAAGTCTCAGTGAATACATTAGTTGGGTGCTTATTCTGTTCCCACGTAACATAAATAATGGGACTTAGGCTATTTGTGAAAATTTCAAAGATGATCTAAAAAGTGAACAAAGATGACCAAGTACATGACTGAATGTTGCTGAAGAAATTCCTCAGCCTCTATATATCTCCTATATATCTCAGGAGTGGATATATAAATCAGGAAGTGGGCAGAAGGAAATACAGATTCAATCTCCTGTTACTATTGTGCACTTCTGCAGTAGCATAAAACTTAGCGGAGAAACAGAGCCAACAAAGTGTTATGTCACTTTTCCAAGGTTACATTGGAAATCGGTGGCAGATACTTTAGATGTTTACTTTAAATAGAGCCACTGTAATTTTCCCCATAGGCAACTGCATGTGTAATGGCAAAAGTTGGGTTTGAATATCACTTCCCCTGGCATTACATCAGAGACAGAAATGTAAGCCAATGGGAATTACGTCCCTGATACTGATGCCTTTAGAAGTCTTCTACTCACCTATCAGATTCTGGGGTGATTAAGGGGAAGGGCATCTAGTATCCTAAAGCTCTGCTTGTTTTCGTAAACAACTCCCAAAGTTCATGTGCAGTTCACCTCTTTTTATAGCACATATTTAGACAGCCATGTTTTTTGGCAATTTTCTATTTTCCAACTGCCAGGCATATTTCTGCATTATAGCACCTGCTCTCTTCTAGTTTTGATTCTGAAGCACTGGTGACATGTGTCAGCAGACACTTACTCTAACTGGAGCTTCAGGCACAGATATTTTTGTTTGAAAGAATTATCTCTGATCCTGGAGATGATCATTCTAGTACCATAGGAATTTTTCAGTAACAGTAAGGAAAATATTTGCAGAGGTATTTTTTCAGAGCATTCAGAACTGACTGTAAATATGAAACAAATATAAAATTTTCATCTGGTTGTGTTAAAGGAAAAAATTAATCTATTTTCTAAGTGACATAAAAATTCACTGGACTTACTGCCGATTTACATAAGTCTAAAAATCTCAGACCTATAGATGCAATATCTCTTGTTTCTGAAAGAACAGGGAATTAATTCCTGGGGAACATAGGAAATAGAAATTTAATCTCTCAGAGAAATATAGAATTAAGCCCATCTCAGGGTTCAAATTCAATATTTTTGCCAGAATATTAATATTTTGTCAGAATATTCCAAAATGGGAACAATGAATCTGCTATTGGAATAACTTAGATTTGAACTGATAGGTAACCTGGAATATCCAACTCGTTGCCATGTAAAAGCAAAACCTTATATTCTTTTTATCACCCATCAGAATTAGATGCTATGCAGCAGACAGAATCTAAGGAATCAGCAGTGTTCTGCCTGGCTTTGCCCCACCTGATCCCACACACTCCTGCTAGAGGATGTAGATGTGTTCAGCTGCATTTACTCAGTCACCTGTGAGGTGGACTTTGCCCACCAGGCCAGTAATCGATTGGGCAGAATCCGCTCCCTTTCTTGCATTTCTTTGTGAGACCAAGTTATTTCAGTTTAACAAGACACAGAACATTTATCTCTTTGCCTAGATGCTATCCTTCTGGCTATGGATAGATGACCATACTGATTTTATTATCTTTCTCGGCAGCTTTTAAAATAATGAAAAGTGGAGGGCTGTGAACTTCTCTGCGATATCTGGTACAAAACAGATAAGCAGTGCCAATCACTCAAGCTAAATGCAGGAAATTAAAAACATCTCATCTCCCATTGAGACTTCTCAAAAAAAACCCCTGAGGTTTGCAGGGGTCCTCACCGTTCTCCTTGCTCATCACAGATTCAAAGACTGTGGGAAGCTTCTAAAATTACTTCGTATGCCTTAATTTCAGATTGTAGCCTGTGCAGTAGCTCCAAACATGTCCCAAAAAGGTCTCAGCTTCAGTTTGCTTTGCTGATGCCTGACAGAATTAGCTCCAGCTATATGCAAGAAAAAACAGTGTGAGAAATCAACAAGGTTATAATTGCCAGTGCAATTATATTGCACTGTGCAGAGGTTATCTCCACCTTTTGTCTCAAGAGGTTCATACTCACCTTTTCTGATTTCTGAGGAAGAAGCATCTGTCCCAATTACTTCCAAGATGAATTCAATGTATGAATTCAGGGTGTTAAACTTTCCTACTACCTTACAGTAGTACTGTTACTGATAACACTTGGTGTAAATCAAACCCTCTCTACTCATCTTTATTACATACAAGGCTGAGAAAGGTATAAACGAGCGTAGGTTAAAATCTGAAAATCCAGAACTTCAGATTTAAGTATGATTTTTTCTATTTTATGGGATTCAGTCAGTAACATTTAAGAAAACCCAAATGATCTTTTCTTTCCCCAAGGGAGACACTAAAACAGGAACTCAAAAAGTCAGTCTTGTGCTAAGATTTGATATGACAAATTTAAGCCTCAAGTTATTATACTTTAATGTCCAAATTGCAAATTCATGGGGAAAAAATTTTTCAAGCAGTTGCTGAAGAATTTCTTGTATCAGTTGCTGAGAGGAAAGCAGCAAAAGGGCCTTTTCCCAGTTATTTGATAACTAGCTTTACCGTTACAGAAATTCACTGTGAAGTGATAATATACTTCACCTTATCTTGCCATAATAGTCTCTAATATGTAGAACTTAATTTTTGAGGCAATGGAGCATAAAATATGGTAGCTCAAAATTACTTTGGGCCTGACTCTCTATTTAACCAGGACACCAGGCAAGGCTATCTGTTAATCTCGCATATACTGATTATAATTTCATTTAGACATGTCTTACTAACTACAAAATAAATAATGACAACAACATCCCCTGGTAGGAATAAGTATTTGGACTAAATCAAGGTTAAGTGATATAACTGATCAAGGTTACTACTCCTGCAGAATATGCTGAGGGAAAGCTAGACAAACATGGAAGAAAACACAAGCTTCATTTAATACTGAATATTGTGACCTTAGGGTTTTTTTTTTGGTTCTCATAAAATAAACTTAATCACCAAATCTGCTTCCCTCTCAGAGGTTTCCCTCAACACAGTGTCTCTCTATTCTTTCAGGTAGCAGAGCATAACCCAGGCACAGAGACAAATTGTTCTCACTGGGGAATAGGTTACGTGAATGGAGTGCTAGCATAGTAATTCAAAGGGAATCCTTATTGCCAGCTAGAAAAAACAGTGGCTTTATTTATTACTAGATTTTTTTTATCATGGCATCTGCACAAAGAAGTTTCATTAATATACTTACTTGTAAATTATCACCTTTGGAGAACTCACATTTATGGGACTCGGTGGTTTCAATATTGGTTGAATAAAACAGAAAACTGAGCTACATAGGGCATTCCAGATGAGGTTGTCATAGTGGGGGATCTACTGTTTGTAGGAACTGTCTATGTTCAGTGTGATAGAAAGATCACAAGTCACCTGCACTCTCAGTACAGCCTCTCGTAGGCAGGACGGGAATATTCAGTGACTACTGATGCACACACAAGCTTCCCTCACCTATGGTCGTTCGCCACCAATGGCATGGTTAGACAGGTCACTCAGCAAGCCAAGAGTTACCATGTTCATTCAAAACTCATTCGGAAACCTAGAGAGACAATCCAGAGCCCTGGCAGCTACAGACTTGAAAATTTTATCTGATAAATTATGGTGTTAGGAAAAGATATTTGACATGAGACAAGGTGACTAGTATCTCTCTCTTCAGTTCAAGTCAGGTTGTAGCGCGACCATTTTTCTACAGCACAGAGAGAATGCAGCCAACCTACACCTCCCAGAAGACTCCTCACCTACTCTGATACCTCCTCCTCACGCATCTCATTCTCAGGAGCTCCAGCTCCTTGCCACATTTCCAGAGAGAGTGGAAAAAGTATATACTAACCATTCTGATTTTTTCCCCTAAGTGATGTCTAACCATACCGTGCTGACAAACATCGTCACAATCATGCAAAACATACACAAGCTGTGACATAAAACTGCAGAACACACATCAAATGTGGTTTTACCATTCATATGTGGCTAGAATACAAATTCTTTTTCTAGGAGTGGAAAGGAACAGACTCCTCACACCTACTCCGAACATTTCTGTTTTCCTTCCGATTTGGTGCAAATTAACAAATGTTAAATTGGTTCCAGTCACTCAGGAAATTTTTATTCAAAAATGATGAAACCAGATGAAGTGAAAAATACTGTTTTCTGTTTGCTTACCTGGAACACTGTGGTGAGTGGGTTTCCTATTCAACTGGGTGACTTTTTGGTATGTTTTTTGCAGTTTATTTGGGTTGGTTTTGGTAAACAAGTAGTCTTCAGTGTTTTTACAGCAGTGGCTATTACAGAAACTATGTCTCTTGCACTTCTTATCTTGGAGGGTGGACAAAATAAACAAACTGAAAATAATACTACAATGAACAGTAAATGATGAATGGCTTACAGTACAAAAAACAGTGTAAAAAGGAAGACAAGTTTAAATATTGTTGTGTATGAAAGGGATGAAAATAATACAAGGATGAGAATAAGTAAAATGATAGGCTGGAACATCTGGGAAAGTAAATACAAAGACAAAGAGAACAGTCAATTAATGGAATAGCAAGTCCAAAGTTTCAACAAAATAAACAGTGAATCAGACTATGCTTGTGGAGGGACCAAGTATCCATCTCCCATTGACTGCAGTAGGAGCTCTGCATGGTTAAGCCCTGAAATGTCCAATTTAACTATGATGTTATCTATTTAGAGAAAATACTAGTTAGTTAGCTTTAAATCTGTATAAGCCCATGCAGTGCTCTGCCTTTAAGCTAATGGGAGCTCTACAAGCTCAGAGGTATTACTAGATCAGAAAGTGAGCATGCTAAACACCATTTCTGTTTGATTTCATGCAACACATGTATAGTAATTGATTAGCTTTAAACTCACTGCGTCTGTGACTTTCTGATACAAGGAAACAAAAGACTAATTAGTCAGCATAGGAATAAGAAATAATAGCTTTCAGCTTCACCTGGTAACAACTTTGACTGTAAACTAGCAGAACAGCACAAAGTAAATTAACACAGCAAGAGACTTGCTAAAACATTGGATAATACCATGAGCAATAACAAGATTTGTCAGCTACAGGATTGTATGATAAGGGTAGGTAATTTTCATTTTTCATGGCAAAAGATCTTGAGTCAGCACAGAATTTGCTCCCCAAAACCTCTCTGGAACAATTCTGCATAAAAATGAACTATAGAAAAGATCCTGCACACTGCTGTGTGTAAGCAGTGACCCATAGGCCTTCAACAAGATACAATCAGATACAGCAATTCAAATATTCACACTACGGTGTGGCTCTGTGACTCTGTAAAGTAAATTTGTATGGTTTATTTTTCTCTGTGGTTTGTCATATTCTCTATAATTTTCAAAACTTAAGGTTTCCTCCTGTTTAAAATCAATAGGATTTTCTTTCTATTCATTGAACAGGAACCCAACCACAAAGAAAACAATTATGTTATTTTATGTGCCAAAAATGCTGCCTGCACTGCCTTTACTGGCAATGAAGGCACAATTCTGGCAAATGTAGTTGCAAAGCCAGAAAGGAGTAAAATCTTTTACCTCCTAGAACATAATTCTTTTAATTTCCAGGAGACCAAACTTACTCACTGTTCATAAACAGGCTCATTGGTAGAACAAGGTTTCATATGGCCAAATGAGGGTTTAAAATAATTTAAGAAATAGTGATTTTTGTCCACTGTCTAGAATAAAGAATTTTCATATGCCATCCATCGAATTTGAGGCTTAATTCATTTGGCAGAGCCTTTTTACCTGTAGGCCGTAATAAGTAAAAGTCTACCTGACTCACTGACAAAGGTTCGTCTGCACTTCGATCGTCCGAAGACTTTGGAACTTCGAGTCTGTCAATGAAAGCCTGGAGCTCTTTCCTGAAGGCCTTCATCTGTGCATTGATCCGGTAAAGAAGCTCGTGCTCACGTATTCTGCTGCCATCATCTTCCTCATCCATCAGTCCAAAGAGGTCCCCGTTAGCTACATAAATTCTCGCCTCTGTTATGATGGTGCTCGTGTCAGAAATTAAGCGATCTATTGTCTTGCCCAGCCGCTCAGCTTCAGAGCGAATGTCCTTCATCTGCTGCCTGTCAGTGAAGCTTTTCTGCCACCCAGATGGTGTCGGATAAAAAGACCTCGTGGGTGTCAGGCACCGAATGTTGCGTACCTCCTCCGAGTCACTTTCCCCACCTATGGGGCCTTCCCTTTTGCGGTGAGGGGGACGGGAATCATCATCGCTCTCTTTTTTTCCTGCATCACTTTCCGCATCGCTGTCTCTGGGACTGCCACGGATCCCAAGATGAGAGGCCAAGTCATAGCGTTGCATGTTGGACATTAAGACTCTGTTCTCATACTGGAGTTGCATGACTTTCCCACTCAGCTCATTGATCTGCATTCGTGCAGCTTTCAGCTCCTCCTGTAATGCTTCTGTCTTGGCATTATCATGGTGTCTAGAGCTCTCGTGGGCCCCAGACTTGTACTTGTATTTGTTCAGCTCAGCTGTTATGCGCTTGTTTTGTTCTTCTACATCAGCTAAATTTCTCCTCAGCAATTCTGTTTCATCTTCTACTAGCTGCAAATGCTGTCGTAATTCTGACAGGGATTCACTCTGCTCTCCCAGGAGAGGGTTAGCAGTCCCTGAGAAATCATCTCCTCTTAAATCATCAAGCTCTGCTTTCAGTCCTCTATTTTCTACTTCTAGCTCCACTATTTTCCTCCCAAGAATATTAGCTTCCTCCTCCACAAGTCTCAATCGAAGCTTGAGTTCAGCTTCTCTTGTGGTAGGTGGCCCACCTGCTTCACCTTTTGGCAAGGGACTGTCCAAATCCCCATAAAACGATCTATATTTTTGCAGCTCATGTTCAAATCTGTCTTTCTCTTTATCAATCTTAGCCATTTTCTTCCTCATCAAGGCTGCTTCTTCTTTGACAAACTGCAGCTGGCATTTCAGGTCTTCATTGTCCTCCTTAGAAAAAAGAAAAGCATTTGAAGAAACTTGTAAAAGAGGAGAGCTCCAGTGGATGGTCTTAAATTACAAGATTCACAATCGAAGCTACATAGCTACTAAGAGATTTTCCTGCAATCATTTTTTTCCACTGATCAATAAATGAAAAGATAGGGAAATAAATATTTAAATTTAAAAGAGGGGAAAAGACCATTCTACTTGCCAGTAAAGTTTGCACAGTCCCCAGAAAATACATTGTAGGGTTGAGGGCTTGTAAAAAATCTGTATATTTTCTAGGCTTGCAACACTAACAGACCTAACAGTGTTAAAATCCTTAAATCAGCACACAAAGAGCTTATAATCTTGTTTCACCGGTGCTCCCATTATTTTGCCTAAAATATGGAGTACATGAAAACTGGTGGGTTCTGTTGCAGCACCAGCAGTTTGTTTAGGTGGTCCTTGACACAGTGTTGCCTGACTACAGATCTGGGGTAAGAGCTCTCTTTCACAGCATACAGGAAAACAAAGAGCAAAGCAAACAAGCAAGAAAAGTACAAATCTATCTATGCAAATCTATAATTTCCTCAGTGTCCCTGAAGCCTCCATATGAGAATCCAGGCTTCTGTTACTACAACATACCTCTGTTGGTGTCTGCTGCGACTTTTTTTCTGATTTTGGCAGGTCTTTACTCCCTCTTCTTTTCAGTGACTGCTGCAACAACAACAAAATGAGATGCACTGAATATTTCACTAAGGAGGTATATAATCCAGCCACTCATTTAAAACATCGCAAGTCAAATGCAACTATAAAGGAATTTATTTCTTGTAATCCTTGAGATACCAAATACAGAGGGGAGAGTCAGCTGCCCAAAAATGGCACAGCGATGCTATTCAAGTAAAGCATTGGTTTAATGTATCTGTTACCCTTTTTATTCACATTTTAAGGCTAGTTCATAATGAATGTTTAACACATGACAAGAGAGGTAGGAACGCAGGTATCCCAAGTGGTAACTTACAGATGGGAAAGATGACACAAGCAGTGAAACCCAGATTCAGTCTCGCCCAGTTGACACTAACCTGAATGGGGCCAAGGCACTTCAAAGTTTTGCCTAGCCAGACATGTGGCCTTAGCCTCTGTGGTTGACAAGCTACATAAAACAGTGTCACTGAGACCCCGTCAGCTGAGCTAAGTGTACCCGTACAAGCACACCTTTCTCTGTGTTCCTCACGCAGGCTTCCAGCTGGCCACGTACTGTGGTCACACTTCTGTAGGTGTACACTGCAGGCAAACTCTGTGCAGACAAACTCACACAAAGATCTGATTGCTAGGTCTGTTCTGTTTTCAGAACATATTCGAGTAAATATAGTTTAAAACTGCTTGGACTACAACATCCTAGTAAGAAACAAAGCATATCGGCTTAAGAACAGCACCACACATACACATGTATGTGGCATCATACGCATGAGCTTCTTCAGTGTCTTCTCACCTGTGCTATGTAGCCAAAGTGAGTAGAAAAGAGGGCAGAATATGCTGGGATCAAAGCCTATAAGCATAGCCAGCAAAAAAGTCATAATTGCTGTCAGTAGGAAGTTCGTTAGTGGGCAAGCAGTGAGCAGTGGAAAACAACTGCAACCAACCCACTGTCAACATTCAATACAGATCATTAAGAAAACAGCAGGAGAGAGGAAAGCAAGTGAGAGAATATGTTAATATGCAATATCCCACTTGCAATTGTTCCCAGTTTTTATGTTCCCCACGTAAAACGTAGGCCCTGAGGCAACACTGATACAACCAACACCATCTCCCTCTGAGGCTGTTCTTTGGTAGAAGGATTATTAGCGCTGTTGAGAAACATGCATTTCCCTGCACCACCCAGGGGAGGATCCAGCTGTACCTAAAACCCATCCAGCTCTGTACAGTGGGAATTATAATATGTTGAGAATCCTCAAGGAACAGAGTACAGTGGGCGAGTATGCTACACATAACAATCCTATGGACTATTTGCCTGCTGGTACCAATTGTTCTTTCTTCTGCAGATCAACCCCATGGCAAATACTAACCTTGTGGACTACTCACTCCAAAGGAAAAGTCAATGCCATAGAAATACTCACATATCAATCAGACCAACCACAAGAGATGATGTTCCATGAGGCTTCTTGCTCAAATTCATTATGGAGTTATGCAAGACTTAAGAAAAATTACCTCAGATTCAGAATCAGAACTAAAATTCACAGATGGATCCACAAAGAATCAGAATTAATATTTCTATGCCTCTTGGAAAAACACTGAATGCTCTCAATAGACAAAACAATAAAACCAGACAAAGATCATTAGCATCTTAGCTGTGACAGCTGGATAGCTGTGAATCACAGAATTCTAAAACAATCCAGAAAACAAACAAAAAAATAGTTAAATTAACCCACTTCTTCCTTTAAAAATAATCTACCAACAATACTTCTTCTCAATCTACCAACAAATCTTCAATCTTCAATCTACCAACAAATACTTTCTTCTCTAGGGTCACACATCAGTTACCCTATAGCAGAAATGGGATGTGTATGTGGACGGTTTTTTGTTGGTTTTTTCTTTTTGAATTGACAAATTTATAAAGCATTAAACTTTCAGAGGTGCAGCTTCCTACTGTGTACTACCATTGATTATACCACTATGTATAACCACTCTGAAAAACCCCTTTTCAAATCAGCTAGCACTGCAAACTTCTTGCTCCAGATTCTTGCCAATGCCACCCACTGATAAAATAACTAAGAGATAGTTAAACTGTATTTCTGCTTGATTACCTAAATGCCTTCTATTCACCCTGCCGAGCTCAGCATCTCTCCAGACATAATGAGGTTCTGAAATGCTGAGCAGCAACTTCTTGTGTACCCTATAACTTTTCAGAAGATAAGAGAGATATAAAAAAGTTTCCCGGGGGGGTGGGGGAAGAGAAACCACAGAGGGCAAAAAATATTTTTAAGGGTTTGACATGAAACAAAAAAATCGTTTCTTCTCTTTTCTATCACTATCTTTTGTGTTAAAGTTCCTTTTGGCAGTCAGGATAGCGACATTTTAATTACAGCGATAGGTGTGGCTGTGCAGGGACTGGGCACTATTTCCTGTTCTGCTCTCCTTGAATTACATAAACCATCCATGGAGCTTGTATTATTCACCAACAGATGATGGCGTTCAGCAACACCTTTTTATAGCAGAAAGCAATGAAGAACACCCACAATTCAATTAGCAGGATGATTTGGGTAAGTGGATTAGGCCCAGCTGGAATTGGTATGATCTCTTTTCTTGTTTAAAACACCATGAGACAATTTCTGATGGCTAGAGGTTAAGATCTCACTTGCACATCTCGACTGACATACGACATCTGCAAAGTCACAGTGCCCCATAACTTCATGTTAGGGCACTGAGGCAATACTCACACTGAACAAAGAATGCCACATGTCAAGCAGTAGATCCAGCTATAAATAATACATTTTTGAGATTTTTTTTCATACGTACATTTCACAGTTCACAGTGGCTACTCTTTCTATCATTTCTCTCAAGCCTCGTCCGCTTGTCCAATCCAATTTTCAACATTGAACAGTTTATTGCTGCTAATGAAACAAAGTATCAAAGCAAAACAGAAAAAGGGAAAAAAATTCAACTAAACATATGGCAATAGCGACCCAGACTCTTGCCTGTGAATCTTCATGTTATGCCTGTGACTGGACACTCTTAAACCTGTGTCTGCCTGTTGCATGTTTTGACATAAAACGTTACACTGGGCCAGTGAGTGATTCAGCCACCTTCATGTACAAAATATGTGTTCAAAAATCTTTGTGTTTGATCACTTTTTAATATAATTCTCCACTTGTTAATCCTTTTCCCATGTCACAAAACATACCATAGTGCCACTAATAGCTACCTCTGCTGTTTTCTTGAACTATAGCAAAAAAAAAAATCTGCCCCTCATATTCAAGAACTGGTTTTAAGAGTTTGTTGTGAATGATAATTTTGGGGCTGAGATAATTTTTCTTCTATATAAGTTTTTAAATCATATTCAGTTCATTCTACTCAATGATTATGAGTTAAAAAAAGCCAAAGGTAAAAGTAGCAAACATAAGACTCTTTTGCACTGTGTGATCAGTAATGCTCACCGGACAGCTTTATGGTTTTAATAACCTTGAACCAAGCTACTCATCTGCAGGAGAAAACAAGCAAAAAAATTGCATGTAATACTGTTTCTACAGTGGGGAGTTTGCTAAACTGCTCCAAGTACTAATGAAATATCTCAACAGCACTAGGGATAAGACCGGCAACAGGGGCGTGCATCACTACATTGTATAATCTCTGCGTACCTCTGAAAGACTAGGAGGTTAAACTGTGTTTGGCCTGGCTATTCTAGCATTCACTGTAACCAGCACACATTGGCTTGTGTGTTCTGGCAAGCCTGAGAAGTTTCTACAGCTTAGAAAAGACCACAAATAATGTTCACATTATATGCATACCAGATGCCATGCAATGGGCAATTCTGCCGCAATGTTCGGCAGCATCAATTCTCCAGTGACCTTCACTGGAACTTATCCAATGTCTTGCTGGAGATGCTAAGCACTTCTCAAGACCAGATGGTATAATCCTTCTCTTGCCAGCCCTAAAGTGCAAGCCAAATGTGCAGTCCTAACATCACCTGTGATGCTTAGTGCCTCTCAGGTGTAAAAAGACCTGAAACTTACTCTGAGAATAACACAACGCAGAAATAATGGCATCACACTCCACTGAGTAAGAAAGCTGTAAAATTAACTCAAATTCTCGCTACCTGATTCCTAAGCTACAGTAAATCTCTCAGCAATTAATAAAGAAGCTGTAAGCAAAACATACCAAGATTTTTCAAGACACAGGTTTGATTATTTCAAGCCTGATCTGGGGTGTATGATCTAAAAATCAATGTAGGCAACCACAAGAGGAATTACTGCCTCATAAAGGGATTTATGGGTGCACAGAGCTTCCGTAACAGCCATTATCCCTCCTCACAGAGCAGGCTAAGACAAAGGGTGTGCAGCTTCTTGAACCTCCACAGCTGCAACCAAACCTTCTCATCTGCACACAACTGCCTGTACACGGTTACAGTTAGCTGCCTCCCAACTGCTCTGATGGGTCTGCAGAGCTTTCAAAAATCAGAGCAAACCTAACACCATCTTTAGAGACTTGAAAAATCACTTAATGTCGAGCAACTTTTGGGTTGCACAAACTTGCCTCTGTCTGGCACAGAGTAACTGTGTCCAGGGAAGTGGAAATTTGCCTTAAGACTCTTTCCACATTTTCCCTTCAGTCAATATGGTTGATTAGTTCATGGAGTTGGATGAAAAGAGACACAAGACAGATTTTATTTTACTGCCACCGACTCTAATTCAGTGTATTAGAATATGTAGTAAAAACTAAATGGACACTACCCATGTTGGCAAACTGGAAATGCACATTGTCCTCAAAATAAAATCCTGGTGTTTTAAAATGTCCTCTTTATCCTGCAACTCTAATGCTGCAATTTGCCAGCAACCAACTCAAGACACTGGCTTTGTTTGTCATTGGCACAAGTACATAGAATGATACAACCCTTTCCGCCTTCCACCCCTCTTCGAGGGCAGGAGGAGTCCTGAGCATTTCAGTATTCTACCTGCTTGCAAAATTAAGGCAGGAAAGAAATAGCATGGAATAAGTGAAATGCAAAAAGGACAGCACCCGTCCACAAAACAAACACTAAGCATATGCTGCTAGCTCTGGCAATGCTCTCTTCCATATTAAAAACTGTATTTGAAAACACTGCTGAGGAACAATACAAAATGAAAGCAATCTTTACTACTTCACCATGGAGAGAAAAATAGTTCTTATGTAGTCTATTGAATGTCTTCATATTGCAGAAAAGAGTTGCCCTCCAGTATTTGTATTATTTAATTTGCATTTATTTAGGAATTATTTCAGTTATCACTTACAGATCCTTTGTCATTATTCATTTGCCAATTAAATGATAAAAAAAAAAATAAAAGGAGAGAAAAGATACACAGCATTTGCACTTTACCTAGAGAAATCCTTTGCATTTTGAACCCAAAATTTTGCTAGAGCAAACAATGGCAACTCTGTAGTATAACCAAGTAAAAGCATTTTCAGCAAGGCATAAAATGAAGCACAATTATGTTTTCATTACATTTGCTTCCTTCTTTTTCTTATTTGAAAAAATCCTGAGCAGTAGGAAATGAAAGCTGCCTTTTCAAAGTTCTCCACATGACCTGGTCAAACAGACTGCCAAACTCTGATACTTTACTTTCTGTGATTGCATACTCCCTCATCCCCCAGAATATGATAAAACAATGAAAGCAACTTCTCTGAAGAGGAAGAGGTCTCCTGCCACTTGAACCTTTTAAAAGATGGAAGAGCTAAACATACTTAGTTTCCCAGCATTATCCAACTAGGCCTCATTAAGGATGCAGAGATCACAGCTTACACTCAGCTTCCTAATTCTGAAATGCAAACGCAAATCTCGGAACACAATGCATCCTT